CATCGATCTATTATTAATTAACCTTCCGTACGTTTTTTATCACGAATCTACGAATCAGCTCTTTATTTAAAGTTGTTGTCTGGTTTCTTGCCTGCGCAAACATTGGTCCTTCGAGCCGGATCTTATTCCCAAATATCATTTTTTTTGCTTATTCATTACGCCTTTATTTTATCCCATTTCTCATTAATTTTATCCACGTTTTTTCGGTCCTCCACGTTCGACGTTTTGAACATCTGGTACCTAAAACTGGATCAAGCTATTTTTACCATCACCTTTTATGTTCAAATTCTGATTCTTACCTTATTGGTCGAATTCAGTCTAAATCGGCATTACCAATTTAAACGAAGTATTTCTAATAATACGCCTTTGTTTAATTCTTCACCTTGTTGAATTTAAAATTGTCCGTTTCGTACTCGAGAATTATTTCTCACTTTTATCCCTCAAATTGCGACTCGTTGATAATTAAAATTTATCTTCCTAATTTTTTATCTAAAATATATATATTATTTTCTTTTACCTCACCATGAGCAACGAAAAGCTTACAAGACTCACCTTACGCCGTACTGGCGCCTATAATCACTTACAAGAATGCGTAGCTCTCAGTCAAGATCCCCCTGATCCTATAAAAAATTCCATTTTTCTTGAACGAGCGCGGGATATTGAGAACAGTTACAAAGATTTTCAAATAGCTCATAATGCCATTATGGGAATCATTGACGAAGCTGAATTTGAGACTCACGATAAAGTTCGAGAAAACGCAGTTACTGTTTACTATACATTTAAAGCCGTCTTTCATCAACGTTCGCCACCTCCTACAACATGTCGGGATGTTTCCTCACCAGAAGCTCCAAAGCTCAATAAAATCTCACTGCCAACTTTTGATGGTTATAAGGACTGGCATACATTTTTTGACCTGTTCCGGACCCTGGTTCATGAAAACAATTCGTTGTCGTCCATTGTCAAATACCAGTACCTTCTCACCTCTTTAAAGGAAGAACCTTTTAATCTTTTAAAGGGATTGCCAGTCACAGAGGCTAATTATGAAACGGCTTACAATACCTTAAAGGGAAGATACAATAATAAATGGCATTTAGCCACATCGTATTTCTTGGAAATTCTTCATGTACAACCTTTGAAAGACGAATCTGTAAAGAATTTTCGATCACTAATTGACACATTTCATGAGAATGTTGAGGGTTTCCGCGCTTTAGGATTTCCCGTAGAACAATGGGATTTCTTGCTGTTCAATTTAGTGCTACCAAAATTGACAGACGCAATCAGAACCACCTTCGAAGTAGAACATACTGATACTGACATTCCAACATATGTTCAGCTAATGACCTTTCATGAAAAGAGAGCAAAGTCACTAGAATCCGTCTTACTAATGTCGGGAGACAAAACTTCCCTTATGCGGTTCAAGCCCAACATGCGGGAAAAGGCAGTGAATCTGAAACTTGAACATCTTTCAGCAAAACCGCAATCATCTAAATGTATTTTATGCCCAGAAGTGCATTCCATCTATCGATGCCACGTTTTTAATGGAAAATCAGCTATTGAAAAGTTGGCAGTTGCTCGAGAGTACAATTTATGTCGTAACTGCCTTAGCCAAAAACATGCCATACATGATTATTATTATTATTATAACCGTAGCTGTCGCATTTGCAACCAGCATCACTCGCCACTTCATCTTAAGAGTCTAGGCTCTGCAGCTATTCATGTGGGGACTTTCTTACATAAAATGTCTTCTGAAGGAAACGACATACCTCACAAAGTTATATTGCCAATAACACCCGTACACATTCAAGATAATTTTGGAACATTACATAGCGTAAATGCTTTAATTGACTCTGGAAGTATGTCAAATTTCATATCGGAAAGGCTCTATTGACGACCAATGGCCAAGCAGATCGAACGGCGCTCAATTCGTACTTGGTGACAATTCGATCCTTTATGAGTCGTTCTTTATATTCTCCGAAATCACAATTAACAGCCAATTTTCTCAATTCGCTTATAAAAGAATCAAAAGACTCCCCCAGTAATTGATTTCTATTATTAAATTTGTGAGCTTCTACGCTACTGTTACTTGTAGGTAAGAAACGAGTATCCAACCTTTCCATTATCTTCACAGGATCCTTATTTTCTTCTTCCGTGAGGTCCATACCTTCCAGGAGTTCTCTTGCATCTTCACCCAAACAACATAATAGTACAGCAGCTTGAGTTTCTTTTTCCATATTATTGCAACCCATTGCCGTAGCATACAATTTATAAGAATTTTTAAATTTTTTCCAATTTATACCCAAGTCTCCTGTTATAACCATAGATCTGGGCTGTTGCAATTGTAAAAATCCAGTTTGAAAACCTCCAGGATGTGTAGAATCTGACTGCGCCATGTTATGTTATTGTTTTACATACACAAACATTCTCTTACATTTTACATGAGGCTGTTATAACGGTTTTCTGTCGAATGACGCCTGCCAGAAACCCCCTAACCTTTACAAATATCTTCTGGCAATCTATGCAACTTACATCACAACAAAAAAGATGAACCGAGATGCGCATGTGCGCTCGATTCGCTCGCAAGTTGAATTTGATCGACAGAGAGATCGGTTTTTTCTGTTCGAGATCGCGAACAACCGACCACGAGTATTAGTGCAATTCCAATAAAAATCGTAAGTTTTTTTGTAAAAAAGGGGAAAAATATAATCTTACATTTATATTCACACCGATCTATTATTAACCTTCAGTACATTTTTTATCACGAATCTACGAATCAGCTCTTTATTTAAAGTTGTTGTCTGGTTTCTTGCCTGCGCAAACATTCCATACGTCCTTCGAGCCGGATCTTATTCCCAAATATCACTTTTTTTTTGCTTATTTGTTACATTTGCGTTTTTACGCCTTTATTTTATCCCATTTCTCATTAATTTTATCCACGTTTTTTCGGTCCTCCACGTTCGACGTTTTGAATATCTGGTACCTAAAACTGGATCAAGCTATTTTTAGCATCACCTTTTATGTTCAAATTCTGATTCTTACTTTATTGGTCGAATTCAGCCTAAATCGTCATTACCAATTTAAACGAAGTATTTCTAATAATACGCCTTTGGTTAATTCTTCATCTTGTTGAATTTAAAGTTCTCCGTTTCGTACTCGAGAATTATTTCTCACTCTTATCCCTCAAATTGCGACTCCTTGATAATTAAAATTTATCTTCCTAATTTTTTATCTAAAATATATATATTATTTTCTTTTACTTCACCATGAGCACCGAAAAGCTTACAAGACTCACCTTACGCCGTACTGCTGCTTATAATCACTTACAAGAATGCCTAGCTCTCAGTCAAGATCCCTCTGATCCTATAAAAAAATCCATTTTTCTTGAACGAGCGCGGGCTATAGAGAACAGTTACAAAGATTTTCAAACAGCTCATAATGCCATTATTGGAATCATTGACCAAGCTGACTTTGAGACTCACGATAAAGTTCGAGAAAACGCAGCTACTGTTTACTATACCATTAAAGCCGTCTTTCATCAACGTTCGCCACCTCCTACAACAAGTCGGGATGTTTTCTCACCAGCAGCTCCAAAGCTCAATAAAATCTCACTGCCAACTTTAATATACTTAATTATAAGGACTGGCATACATTTTTTGACCTGTTCCGGACCCTGGTTCATGAAAACAATTCGTTGTCGTCCATTGTCAAATACCAGTACCTTGTCACCTCTTTAAAGGAAGAACCTTTTAATCTTTTAAAGGGATTGCCAGTCACAGAGGCTAATTGTGAAACGGCTTACAATACCTTAAAGGGAAGATACAATAATAAATGGCATTTAGCCACATTGTATTTCTTGGAAATTCTTCATGTACAACCTTTGAAAGACGAACTGTAAAGAATTTTCGATCATTAATTGACACATTTCATGAGAATGTTGAGGGTTTCCGCGCCTTAGGATTTCCTGTAGAACAATGGGATTTCTTGATGTTCAATTTAGTGCTTATGCGGTTCAAGCCCAACATGCGGGAAAAGGCAGTGAATCTGAAACTTGAACATCTTTCAGCAAAACGGCAATCATCTAAATGTATTTTATGCCCAGAAGTGCATCCCATCTATCGATGCCACGTTTTTAAAATCAGCTATTGAAAAGTTGGCAGTTGCTCGAGAGTACAATTTATGTCGTAACTGCCTTAGCCAAAAACATGCCATACATAATTGCTCATCTAACCGTAGCTGTCGCATTTGCAACCAGCATCACTAGTCACTTCATCTTAAGAGTCTCGGTTCTGCAGCTATTCATGTGGGGACTTCCTTACATAAAATGTCTTCTGAAATAAACGACATACCTCACAAAGTTATATTGCCAAGAACACCCGTACACATTCAAGATAATTTTGGAACATTACATAGCGTAAATGCTTTAATTGACTCTGGAAGTATGTCAAATTTCATATCGGAAAGGCTCTCAAAGAAGTTACACATTCCTAGAAAATACACATCTTGTGTAGAGATTCAAGGACTGAACTCGATGACGTCGATCTGTAAAAAGGGATGAATTGATTGTTCCGGTCAACCTATTTATTGTCAACAACCATCCTTCCAATTCAAAGCTATTATTACCCCAAGTATTTGGTCCAATCAACCCTCAGCTTCCTCTATTGCTTCCCTGTACTCACATCTTAAACACCTAAACATAAATTCAGATAACAACATTAATACCATCTCGGTCGATCTCTTACTGGGAGCGGAATTTGTTCCTCAGATATTCACCGAAAGTCGCATTTAGGGCAGATCTCATGAGCCCATCGNGACGCATGTGATCCAATTCAAGGTATTCACACATAAATTGATTGTACTTCTGTTTAAAATTCAAATTTTTGGCGAATCTCAGTTCAAGTCTTGTGAAAGTCTGTATGGCAATCGGATAAGAAGCGCCCAATTCAGTGGGAGACCGACGAAAAGGAAGACGAACCACGAAACGACCGTTTAAATCGCGCGAATAGTTACTCACAAAGTGATCTTCGCACTCCTTTTCGTCCGGCGAAATACAGGGAACCGAAACCGTATCGTCTTCCTGTTGCCAAAAACGTTGAATAATTTCAAGGAGTTCCCGATCAATCGAACATTGAAACGCGAACGGGTTTGAGTTTGAAGACGGTTGATCGGCCATGATACCGGAAAGAATCCACCCGAGGGAGGTTTGTTGAGCCACGAGCGATCCATCCTCGCTTCTTCGAATTCCATCTTGAATTATTTTTGAGTAGAAAGTAACCCCAAGAATCAAATCAATATTTCTAGATGATGTAAAATCAGGATCAGCTAGCGGAAGGTCTGCTAACTCGAAGGGAATATGCGCTGTTCTTTTTTGAGGAAGATATGCGGTAAGTTTCGGGAGAATTAGAGCTTCTTCTTCGTATGAAATGAAAGGGTTCACTTTTGATGCTAGTTTAATGTTCACAGTACCGCGTGAGACACTGGTGTGCTGCGACCCAATGCCAAAAATTGGGATACTGGCTGAATGACGCGAAATCTGCAACTGTTGCACCAGGGACTCGGAGATAAAGGATACTTCTGATCCTTGGTCGATGAGAGCTCGAACTAGAATGGTTTCACCGCGACTAGAAACTGTTAACACTAGCGCTGTCGCCAGAATCACGGGGGTATGAACGTGGTGTGAATTTATAACGTGAGAATTTGAGGAAAGTGGCGCTTGATTATTATTTGTTCGAGATGAAAGTTGCTGAACGTTTGTTTCGGGGTTCGCATGCTGTGTGCTTGTAGAGCGTGAACGGGAATCTGAAGGGGCATCATGCAACGTGCTATGGTGATTCTTGTTGCATACGCGGCAGCGCTTCGAAACGCGACAATCCTTTACAAGGTGAGGTCCAAGACAGTTAAAGCATCGTTTATTACTTTTCACGAATTCGATTCTTGCAGACGGACTCTTCGCAAGGTACGTTGGACATGAAGAGATATAATGATTCGAAGTGCATATGAAACAGTTGGACGTTCCGGAAGATGCGTTGTGAACTTTTACAACTGGGATCTTCGTGGAATGTGAAGTTTGGTTAGGCTTTCGGTTTGCTTGCAAGTTCTCGATTGCCTCCAATGTATGAATACGCCCGATTAAGAAGTTCTCGAGTTCTTCATACGTTGAGGGATCTCGATGGTCACCGATGGACTTTTCCCATTCTTTCATCACGTCCATATCTAATTTTCTGATAATCAGAAAAACTAGAAAATAATCCCAATGTTGGACGGGACATTTCAAAACTTCAAGCGCACCGATTGCTTCTTTCACTTCCCCGACGAGTCGTTTTAATTCACTCGAAGATTCGTTCTTCATAGCGCGCGCGGAAAATAGTATTGCTAATTGAGATTCGATAAGTAACCGGCGATTTTCGTATCGTTCAACTAACGTCTGCCACGCCCTTTCGAAATTTTCATTCGTTATCGCGATGTTTTTGAGCAATTGAGCTGGCTCACCGATTAATGTCATTTTCAGGTACTGCAATCGTTCAACGTCTGATAATTCCCGATTATCAGTAACCATTGCGACGAACAAATCCCGAAACTGAGCCCAATTAGCGTACTTTCCGTCGAAATTGGGAAGTTTGATTTGCGGCAAATGTCGCGAAGGCGCCGATGGACGAACCATCTCCGTTACGCTTCCAGCGGGGGCTTGAGAAGGCTGAGGAATTAGAAATGATTCCATCAGATCGAGAATTTCGCCCTTGGCCTCCATATACGCCTCCTCACAAACCGAAAATAAATCATCTGTGAAATATATTGTTTCTGTGAATAAATGCCGATATTTTGACAAGTATTTATGCGACTCGTTGAATTCACTCCAATTCGCTTCAAGTCGCTCAAGACGACTTTGAATGTTTCCGCGAGTACGTTTCGCGATCGCGAGTTTTTTAATATTGTCTATTGTGCGAGAAATTAACCCGTGAATGTCATTTTGCCGTTCAAAAATCGGGTTTAAGTCAATTTCACTAGCGGTTGCCATGGTAACGTAACACAAATAAACACGAAAACGAAAAATCGAAAAACACACAAAACGTTCTTTCTCTCCGCACTTCCGGTTATAGATCCGGCTCGAAGGACCAAAAAATGTTAAGAAAATACACAAAAAAAAATGTTAAGAAAATATTAGAAACGCAAACGGGAAAATTTGAAACACTTATAAATGTCAATTAAAGTTCGGGTGAAAAACTGTCAAATAAAGAAAATGAAATATAAACGTCTTACAGTTCTTGTAGAATCTTTTAGTGGTTTCAAACAGAAAATAAAAGTCGAAACACTTTTAACGAACATCTATTTGAAATAACACGGAAATACTTTAAGCACAGAAAATTGACGCGTGGTCTCTTGCACGTGAACGTCAACTCTTATAGAAAAAACAACTGAATAACAAAACTTAAAAAATACGGAACGGCCGACTAATTAAATTATAATTAACGAAAATAACAGAAACTATTAACTTTTAAACAGCTCTCAAAGAAGTTACACATTCCTAGAAAATACACATCTTGTGTAGAGATTCAAGGACTGAACTCGATGACGTCGATCTGTAAAAAGGGATCAATTGATTGTTCCGGTCATTGTCAACAACCATCCTTCCAATTCAAAGCTATTATAACCCCAAATATTTGCTCCAATCAACCCTCAGCTTCCTCTATTGCTTCCCTGTACTCACATCTTAAACACCTAAACATAAATTCAGATAACAACATTAATACCATCTCGGTCGATCTCTTACTGGGGGCGGAATTTGTTCCTCAGATATTTACCGAAATTCCCATTCAGGGCGGATCTCATGAGCCCATCGCTGTCAATTCTGTTTTTGGTTGAATTCTTATGGGAAAGTCTTCTCTTTCCGATCCAACCCACAACTCGACATGTCTGTCAACAACCAATGCCTCTTTGGAAAAGACGATTCAGAATTTTTGGGAATTGGAATCAGTTCCGAACTATGTGAAATATGCTAAAGATATTTCGTTACAAATTATAAAAGAACTGAAACAGGAATTTTTATGGTTTCTTTGCCTTTTAAAAAAAATACTCGAAATTTTATTAAAAAATGAATGTTGTTATTAAGCTTGTTTTATAGCTGAATATATTGCCAATAATTCCCTATCAAAAGTGGAATATTTGATCTGACTAGAACTTAATTTCTTTGAAAAAAATGCTATAGGTGAAGTAACTTCATCAATTGTTTGAGAAAGAACTGCTCCCATAGCCTAATCCGAGCAATCGGTGGTTAAAGAATAGACCTGTAGGGGAAGGATGAGCAAGAAGGACAGAATTGATTAGGGCATTTTTTGTAGCATCAAATGCCTTTTTATCTTCTATTGTCCATGAAGATATTGTTTTTAATTTCTTTGAATTATAAGAAGTAACCAAAGAATGTAATGGCGATAAAATTCTAGAAATGTTAGGAAGTAAACGGTGGTAAAAATTAACCATTCCTAAAAATCTCTGTAATTCTTTAACCGTGCTCGGAAGAGGAAATTTTGAAATAACTTCAATTCTGGATTTTGAGGGTTTAATACCAGTCTGAGAAACATGATGGCTTAGAAAATCTAATGATGAAACACCGAAGATACATTTTGTAGCTTGGATATTGATCCCATAATCAGTAAGCCGTTTGAACAAAATTTGTAGATGCTCTAAATGTTCGTCTTCAGATTTACTTGCCACCAATATATCATCCAAATAAACAAAGAAAATTTAAGCCAGACAGTACTTCGTTGATAAATCTTTGAAAAGTTTGTGCGGCGTTTCGTAAGCCAAAGGGCATTCGAACAAATTCGAATAAACCGAAAGGGGTACATATTGCCGTTTTATAGATATCCTCTGGAGCTACCGGAATTTGGTGATAAGCTCTGACGAGGTCGATTTTTGAAAAACTTGAACATCCTTGTAGGTGAAGGTTAAGTTAAAATCCTGAATATGCGGTAAAGGATAAAGGGTCTGGAACAGTTATTAAATTCAACCGTCTGTAATCGCCGCATGGGCGTCATTCATCAGTACCTTTTTTGGGTACCATATGTAATGGTGAAGATGCGGACGAAGAAGATGGGCGGCAAATACCCATTTCTACTATTAATTCAAATTCTTTTTTGACGATTAAAAGTTTTTTTGCATCCAGACGACGTGGTCTACTAAAAGGAAGATGCGAATTGGTGATAGTTTTATAGTGTAAGACTGGTTTTGAAAAATCCGGAATACATGTTAAATTAAGAAATTGTTTAACTAACTTTGTGAATTTAGTTTTAATAGAGTCTCAGAATTTATTAAATTAATTTTGGAAGGGTTAAAATTAAAAACAGAACAAATTGAAGCGATATGCCTTAAAGGATCAATTATTTTACGATTCTTGATATCGACTAAAAGATGGTACTTTCCTAAAAAATCAGCACCTAATATTGGTTTCGTCACATCTGCTAAAGTGAAAACGAATGGAAATGTGCGTCTTAGACGTAAAGATACAAAAAGTAATTTTTTTCCAAAGGAGTTTGGAATTCAATTGTCAAAGTGAGGTGTGGAAGTAAGATGCGAATTGGTGTAAATTCAACTCATCTTTTACTGAAAAATCAAAAGCTTCAAATCAAAAAAACTAACAAAAGTTTCAATAGAGATTAAAAATAAGGGTTTAAATATATCCTCCGGAGTTGAATCTGTAAGTTCACGGTTATTTATTTACGACGATCTTAATAACCTTAACTTTCTTATTGACTCCGGAGCAGACATTTCGGTACTTCCTGTTTCTTTATTTCCTTCTCACAAAAGAGAATCATCCTTGGTATTGTCTGCCGCTAATGGTAGCAAAATTAAAAAGTTTGGAAAAAAATTACTTTTATTTATACTTTTAACATACGTTTCTTTTGATGATATATTGGTGGCAAGTAAATCTGAAGACGAACATTTAGAGCATCTACAAATTTTATTCAAACGGCTTAGTGATTATGGGATCAATATCCAACCTACAAAATGTATCTTCGGTGTTTC